AGTAGGGCCTGGCGGCAGGGGAAGCCTCCGTGAAGCCAGGGGCCGGGGCACCTAGGAGGAGGGGGGGGGGCGGGCAAAGGTGCTCCCCCACCCCCAGACCAATCATGTTCTGGGGGTGGGGAACCCAGAAGTATCCCAGCCCTGCCCCTGAGGCCCCACCCCTTCCAGTGTGGCCCGAGGCCACTTCAGAAATGTTTGAAGTGGCCCCCAGAAAAAAATTATTGCCCACCCCAATCTAACACAACCCTTGATACACTGTTCTAACGGTTAATGACTCTCACCATTCAAAATTTACACTTTTTTCCCCAGTCTGAATTTGTTTACTCATAGACTTTAAGGTCAGAAGGAACCATTATGATCATCTAGTCTGACCCCCTGCACAATGCAGGCCACAGAATCCCACCCACCCCTCCCAGAATAATCCTCTCATCTATATCTCAGATATTGAAGCCTTCAAATACTTTGAAGACCCCAAGATGCAGAGAATCCTTTAGCTGTGATCTGTACCCCATGCTACAACATCCAGTTTACCTTCAACATCCTGCCTTTAGATCACGCCTTTCTCTGCTTAGTATGGAAGATTATGTCTATACCAGAACTGCTCCAACTTCCTGATATTTGGCTTTTACAGAAACACTCCCACACTCTGAACACACATCTTGATCCCTGATATAGAATCAGACCCAGCAAATTCAAGCACAAAGAAAAGTAACTATGAATAGTTTTCCTGATCCCATTTCATACCCGTGGCCCTTTGGGATTGCTATTGAACTCTTCTACCACATCCATCCTTTGCTTAGGATTGACTGAGCCATCCACCGTAGCATACTTCACCCCCTGACGCTCGAGGTGCGCTGCCACAACCTTCAACATGCTAGTCCACTGAGACACAATGACACTGAAAAGAGACAGAGTCCAAAACAAGCATCAGATATATTGTAACAACTTTGCTATGAGAATGTTTTGCCCCTTGATACATTAATAGTGAACTAAATCTGTAAATCTCTTATCTATACTATCTCAGGGTTTAATACTGCTGCCCATTACCATAGTATGGGAGTGTTTTCCACCACAACTAACAGGAAAGTCCATAGACTTTGTGGAATATGGCTCTCTTCCTTTTGGGGTCAAAATTCTGCTTGGGATAGGTCAGGTTTTGGGATTTGATTGGTTGGAGGTTTCGGGGATGGAAGGGAGGTTAGAGGTAGAAGGGGGTCTGTTGCATGTATCATTCATATACTCAAAAGGCTTTTTCAAAGAAGGCTTTGCAGTGTTCCCAACACCACAGTCACACTCTGGATTCACCCATTTCCTCTGGCTTACATTCAAGATTGAGTTGAGGTATCAGCTCAGCGGCTGGCGCTGTGCATTCTAGCAATCTAGAACGGTATTATCAGATCTGGCAGATGCTTGATTTGCATGTGTAATTACAATAATTGAGCAAGCAAGTCAGGTAAGCACAGGGTATACACAAACTGATTTATTCCTCATACATTTGAGGATGCTTCTTGTACACAAATTGTCAAAAAATCAGACACCAGTTTTCAGCTGGAGCAGACTCTTTTTCTTTATTAACTCTTTTGCAACATTTTTTTCTTTACTAACAACCTGACCAAATAGCAACTAATAACTAACTGGCAAACTCCCTTCCTGCAAATGGCCATTTGAGCACAGTGTGGTGCTCTGAGGCAGAAAAACTAAGCAAGAGATTTCTCACTGCAGTTAGAGATCCTTTCACAAGACTATTCTGACAGAGTCTGGAGATTTCCCCCATGCCTGCATAAAGGGGACATTAACTGTTATGAAATAGACCATTGCAAAGTGTTTCTCTGAGCATTTTCTCTGTGCGCACAATTTTCAAATGTGTGACTCAACTGAATGTCCAAATCCTGCATGTAGATATTTATATCAGCTCTTGGGAGCAACAGTCAGGTATTCAGATGTGCGTGCTACTCTCAGAATACAAATATATATTTCTGAAAAACCTTTATGATTGCTCCTACATTTGTATCAGGTTCACAGTGTGGTACCTGAACTCTGACATGCACCATTTAGACATTAAATTGAGCTGACCTTCCCTTCTCACACCTACACTCATTCTTTGGCACTTTGTCTAATAAAGAAAATTACCTTCCACAAGTTATTGATGAGAGAGCTCCTCTCTCCCGAAGGTCTCTCACATGAAAGTAAGCCATCTGATTCATGACAGAGAGTCTTCTCCACCCTGTCTTGCAGTCTTGTGTCCTCCCACACACCAGACCTCGTCTCATGTCTGACTTAAATCATCATTTCCCCAAGTAGGAGACATGTCAGTTTCCCTGGGATGTGTGAAGGACTGGCTCAGGGGCCCATGGAGACTCGCACATTATTTGCAGAAGTTTAGCAACACAGTGAAGCTGTAGGGGCATGGGATTGTTTTAATTTCCCTGAAGCAGGGCTCAGCTTTCAAAAGTGTGTGAAATGCCACCTTAAGCATAGATTTACACATTCCCATGATTTATTTTATGTTTTAACTCTCTTATCCCATATTCTTCTATCATATTCAAGAGAAAACTGCTCACCTGGTTTTCAGATCTCCTCAAACTCTCTCCACACTTTGACCCTGACCTCACATCCACCTAACTACCTAACAGCCTTCAAAATTGCCTCTTCTCCAAAACTCCTCATTAGCTTCTTGACTGCTTTCACACATATCCAGCAATTGTAATGTTGCAATAGTGTGGAGATTTCACTATGAGGAATTTTTATATTTGATCATCTTACCTAATTTTCCCTCTGCCCACAAAAATGCACCCCAGAAAGAGAAGCATTATCATACTTACCTCTTCTGGGACTCTGGGTGGCTTTGGATAGTCTTCAGTTCAGCCAAGAGATGAGATAGCTTCAGAAGAAGAAAATTAGTTTACTTGCTATGAAGCCACAATGCAACCTGAGTCACTCTACCATGAGATCTATGCAAAACGCTCAACCCAGACTTAAGTAAGACTTACTCTGGGTTGCATGAGGTAGTTACATAGGATGTAATCCTGATTTTGCCATCATGTACAAACATGATATTTTCAAGAGTCAGTAATTCATAGATACTTGGTTTAGACAAGTCAGTGGCTTTCAACCTTTCTAGACTACTAAACTTCTTACAGGAGTCTGATTTATCATGTGTACCTCCAAAATTCACCTCACTTAAAAATGAATTGCTTACAAAAGTCAGACATAAAAGTGTCACAGCATGTTATTACAATGAAATTGCTGACTTTCTCATTTTTACTGTACAATTGTAAAATAAATGCATTGGAATATAAATATTGCACTTACATTTCACTGTGTAGTAGAGCAGTATAAACTGCAAAAGCGGCGAGGAGTCTTGTGGCACCTTATAGACTAACTGAAGTGTAGGAGCATAAGCTTTCATGGGCAAAGATCTACTTCGTCAGATGCAGGTCTTTGCCCACGAAAGCTTATGCTCCTACACTTCGGTTAGTCTATAAGGTGCCACAAGACTCCTCGCCGCTTTTGCAGATTCAGACTAACACGGCTACCCCTCTGATACTTGACAGTATAAACAAGACATTCTCTGCATGAAATTTAAGTTTGTACTGGCTTTGCTAGTGCTTTTTGCTACAGCCTATTGTAAAATTAGGCCAATATCTAAATCAGGGGTGGGGAACCTCAGACTCAGGGACCAGATGCAGCCCTTGGCTTGCCTGGATCCAACCCCAAGGCTCAACCATAGTACTGGGGGGCCTGCATTGACACTCCAGCCCTCCCCTCCCCCCATGGGGCTGGAGCACACAAAACCTACTAGACTGAGACCTTCTAGGCTCTGGTGTGCAAGGGGAATGTTGGGAGTGTCTTTCTCCTCCTCTGTCTGGGGCCACCTCAGTGAGGGTTGTTTTTTTTTGTTTTTGTTTGTTTTGCTTTTTGGCTTCTTACTTGTGGGCGCCCCCAACTGATTCTTCTGTGGATTAGCAGCCCCCCACCTAAAAAAAGTTCCCCACCCTGATCTAAATTAAGTTGAGGTACTCCCTGGAAGATCTCTGCATACCCATAGGGGTACACATACCTCTGGGTTCAGAACCAGAGAGGTAAGTTACTTTTTTTACTCAGTGTAAGTGTTCACCATAATATGTTGCAAAGGGTAAATTAAGTCTGCAAAAGCAATGGCATTGTAATTTGCCCCTCTAACTTTTTACTGTGATTTTTCAGATAAGTCTCAGCTAATAACAGTAATAGGATCACAAGACATGAAAAGCAGGTTTGTAACTTTTGCTCTCTGAACAAGTTTTGTAGGAATCACACTTCCTGTGTGGATCCAGACTAACAGTTTCCTTTCTTCCACCCATTTTCTTAAAGGTTTTTGATGCCCCTTCTCTTTCTTTACCTGAGAGGTCTGTACTGTCTCAAGAGTCTGATGACTGAGACGGGCATTGACAGTCAACCAACGTGGTAGATTTTGTTGCAGGTACTCTTATCCTACCGCTTCCTATGAAGTTTGGAAGGTTGGAATCTCCCTGCGATAGGTTCATCTGTATATTCATCTACCCATATCCAAGCTGCCCACCTGCCCATCTATGCAACTGCAAATATATCAGGCTGTCAACATTTACTTAAAATAAACAAATCAAAATGCAGCAATGTAGGCCTCCCAAGAGATGTCACAGAGCCACAGCTAGCATACTTTGGTGCTTTCTCTGCTGATTTCAAAGAGATCCATGCTGAAAGCCTTGCCATTAAGATAGACGGTAGATTCTGGGTCAGGAGTTTGGAGTTCCAGCAAAGTCAAAGCACTGAGGTGTTCTTCCAGAGAGAGAGAAAGGCCTTCGCTGTTCAAGTTAGCTTGGTCCAGAGCCTGCAAAAAAGAGTAAATGGCAGGTCTAGTGAGGAATGAAAGCCACATGCACAGCTGCAGACAGTAAACAGAGCATCGCTGGTGTGCTGTTAGAAGATCTTCGAGCTTGCCTCAAGGACCTTTCTCCCTGGGCTGTATGCCCAAAAGACAAGGTGCTTCTTATAATCAGTAGAGCCATGCTCTACCTCCAAATCCCAGTTGAAACACACAGTTTAGAGGGTGGTGAAGCACAGCCTAAAGCACTTCCCCTGGAAGCTTTTGCCCTGTTTTACAGATAGGGAAACTAAGGGAGAAGAGAAAACTTGTCCAGCATTCAAGGTGGTTGGTACTAGATTTGTGAATGGAACTCACAAATGTGGCCTACACCTCTTTACCATGTGGCCTGTGTTGGTCACTTATTTTACATCTGACAGGTGAGAGCTACAAGGAAATATGGCCCAGCGTGAAAAATGCTGCAATCTGGTCCATAGTATGCTGATCAGGTGCAGCACCTGGCAAGATGCCAGTTATGGAGGCCACATTTCCAATGTTCAATGCCTCACCAGCTCTTTAATGAAGCCTACTGCAGACCCATTAACTCTTTGGTGCCAGGAATCACTAAAACAATGCCCCCAATGTATTGTGCAACACATGTGCCCACCAGTTCAAGGATCGTGGCATTCACAAGCATGACACTTCTGTAAGTGACTGTGATGGATGGGAGGGGTAATACTCTTTTCTAGATATCCCAGCAAATCAGTTAAATTTTTTGTAAAGGGTTAAACCCAAAGACAGTGGGTATCCAGAAAGCATTGGAAGGGAGCCAAGGGTGCTAATGGGAAGAGAGTGAGAGATCTGAATCAAAACAGGTTCTGCCTGCTTCAGTCTTTTGTCTAAATTCAGAGCAGGAGCTGGGGAAGAGTTGGTCTGAAGCAGGAATTGGCATGGATTTTTCAGCAATGTCCATGCTCAAGGAAAGATTAAAACTTGGAACAACAGAGATGCAAGTAGAACAGGGAATGTTTAGACAGACAATCAGGTTATTTTCTTTATTTTGGAATTTGGTTAAACTTTTTATGCTGAACTCCTGTACACTGTAACTTTTAAACTGAATCCCAAGGAAGCAGTTCTCTGCGCTTTAATCTGTTTTTTTCCCCAGAAGCTCTGTAACACTTAGCAATCAAGTATGCTTTACCAAATATATCTTTGTTTTGTTAATAATCACCTTTTTAAGACTATGACCTGGTTCTTGTGTCCTAGAAGGCAGGATGTTCTATGTGTATGTGCCTGAGACTGAAGGTCAGTTATTAAGTAATTACAGCTCGTCATCCTGGCCTCTCAAGGGGTTTTTGCATTTGGTTGGTGGCAGCGTACCACCCAAGGTTAGGGAATCTGTGACTTTGGGGAGTTTTTTAAACAGGAACCGTTAGTGGCAGGATATTTTAAGGTCTCTTGAGGCCCCCACCTCTGAACTCCAAGTGCCAGATTGGGGAATAGCCTTGACAGTGACCAAACTGTCATTTTGGGACCGCAAATAAAAGATCCCATTATGGATTAATTATATGACACTTTATATGAATTTGATTAGACTGCTTCTACAATGCAATGTTCAGGCCTCAATACAAGAAAGAGAAACTCAGATAGATTCAGAGAAGGAAAAAAAAGTGATTAATGCAAGGAAAAAATTTAGTAACCAACTAAATCGGCTAAGACTAGGAGAGAAGAGAGGACACCACAGTCTATGAAATATTTGCCCAAGTAAATACCCAGAATGGAGACAAATTTACCATGAGGCCTGTAAGCGTAAATAAGATCACCGGGAGAAATTTAAAAGCATGGACTGAACATCAGAAAATATTTCCTATTAGGTTGCCACTAGTTTCTTTAAAATATTCTGCAGTTAGGTTCTACCATGCACCCTTCTCCCTCACCTCATGTGAATTTGTGGTGACGCTGGCCAGACCCGCTTCCAGCTCATTTCAGTCACGCCTCCCTGAACACTGACAAAAGCATAGCTGGAAACCAGTTTGGCTCACTCACATGTTCCTATAAATCTAATGCCAATTTTCACAATAAGAATGTGTTTAGAATAACGAAACACTCACAGGATGCTGCGTGTATTAATTGTATTTATTATATCTGCATGACACACAAGGTTATATTAAGTGTCTGCATTGTAACCCTCTGCAATTGTGCAAGCCAAACAGGAAAGGAGCATTAATGTAGAGATGCCAGTTTCCTACACAAGGTGCCCATGAAGAAGATCCACTGAACCCAAATGAGGCACAGTGAAACAAAGTCTTTGTTGATTTCTCCCCTATCCCCTGAATAGAAGGTGGGTTTGTCCAATCAACTTGAACTCTGGGAGAAGGGAACACCACAAAAAAATCTCTGCCAAGACAGAACTGTCTCTATATGCTGCTTGAACTCTGAGGAGTGAAGATTTCTAAGCAAGGAATCCCCAGCTGGTTAACTACAATGGACTTATAGAGCTTGCTTATAATAGCACCAATTGCTTTTTGAAACCCAAGACTGCAACTCATTTTTGTGTGTATGCTTACCTGGTAAATAACTAATTTCTTTTTCTTAATAAATAAACTAAAGATTTATTAACTATAGGGTGGGCTACAAGTGTGGTCTTTGTTACAGAATCTAAGGTGCAACTGACCCAGAGTAAGTGACTGGTCTTGTGGGACTGGGAGTGACTTGAATATTATTGTTATATTTGGAGTAAGGGAGTATCCATCAAAAGGTAATATTGCTTGGGTGACACTTGATATTTGGTTGGTGAAATCTAAGTATAAAACTCAACTAGTTTGGGACCGGTACCCTGATTCTTCAGTCTGCCTTCAGGTTGGTTCTCATGCTTGTGAGCCACTCCAGACAGCTTGGAATTTGCATATTAATATGAATCACACTTAAAAAGTACTCTGTCCCAAACCCTAATCCTACTGCAAAACGCTACAGTCATGACTTACTAATAAACTAACCACTTAAATGCAGCCACCTCTGGGTTGGACAGCAACATTACACAATATTTTAAGCTAGCCACTGACAAATAAGGTGGCCAATTAAAACGAGAGAGGAAAATAAATAATATGGACAGGATGCTGGCCCTACAGCCACCCACACACAGTCAGGCCCAATACCATGATCGGGGACTGGACTGACCTTGGAGGGAAGACGACTCCCAAATGAGTTACCAACATAACATCCTCCAGTACTCGTGATTTATTTTGGAAGTTCCAATCAAGTGACTGGCTTAGAAATCTGACAAGAATAGCCAACATCGCTCTGTGCCATAACCAAGTGCTTCTAACATGATTAATTCTATACACTACATTAATCATAGTATTAGGCTGTATGGTTACCACTTTTAGCAAGGAAAGATGGCAGCAGCACTGGCGCAGTCTCAGGAGCATGGACAAGACGTGGACAGCACTTGAGACACGTGAGTCACTTTGGGAACCCACTGCTAGGGAATCCTTTTGACTGGCTCCAAATTCTTGTGCTACTATTATTAAGAAAACAGAGAAAGCAATCAGAGGCATATCAGAGCAGCAGCTTTACCAGCCAGTCATATTTCATCAAGAGGAACTGAAAAGGAATCATTGTTTAGCATGCAGTTTGTATAGGAATACATCAAGCCCAGCAAAACACAAGGCGCAAGAGATTACAATATGTTATACTAACAATTTGTTTTTCTCCTAAACCTTTTGTTAATTCTCCATGCCCTTGCTGAGCAGATATTATACCCTGCCCAACACCTCATAGTGAGAACAGGATGTGGGAGGCCAGAATCCATCCCCTTTTCTAACCACTACAATACATTGCTCACAACCCTCCTATGATGCCAGTACTTCCTTGTAACCTGGCACCTTGCCTCTTCTCTTATCCAGAGCAAACAGACCAGTGGTGAACAGAGCCCATCCTGTTAAGGGGAGACAACAGAACTGCCAGAAAAAGGCTTTGCAGACACATGTCCTTCAGGGCTGAAAGCCTCACTGGGGCCCTAGGCAAGGCGCAGGCAGGAAGCCCTGTTCCATGACCCCGGAAGGGGTGGAGCTGGGCAGCCTTCAGCATGACAGGGAGCAGAGAGTCTTCCCCAGGTATCCCTCAATACTGCTCAGAATATTAGCAGAGATTTAAAGGACCCAGGGTTGTGACCAGGGTGGCCAGGAGCTCCGGGCCCTTTTGTATCGCTGGGGCCTGAGGCAGTTGCTCCCTCCCCACAATCATAGAATCTTAGGGCTGGAAGAGCCCTCAGGAGGTCATCAAGTCCAGCCCCCTGCCCAAAGCAGGACCAATCCCAACTAAATCATCCCAGCCAGGACTTTGTCAAGCCGGGACTGAAAATCCTCTAGGGATGGAGGTTCCACCACCTCCCTAGGTAACCCAAACAGCAGGCCTGAACACACCATGTCACACACCAAGCTTTCCCTCCACATATTTTAGGGCTGTGGTGTCCAACACTCTAGCCACATGTAGCTATTTGACCTGCTGAGTGTGGCTAATTGGCTTGATCAAAGTGGATAGTTGGCCGGTTGAGTGTGGCTAGTTCACTATATAGCAGTAGCCACTATTAGTTCACCATATAGAGGTAGTCACTATAGTGGCGAATGCTTCAGAACTGGATGGACACCACAGTTCTAGAGCAACACTCTTCTCAAAGGCAGCAGTCCAGCTGTTTTCCAAAAAGCTCCAAGGAGCTTGGAATTCAGGGGTGGCTCCCATTCTCTGCTCTGCACTCTCTTAGTTTTAAGGGGGCATGTCCTAATAATGTAATAAACCACTCCCCACAAAACATTTCTGCTGGTGTCAAGGCAAAACTTTGATCCTAACCTTTATCGAATGGATTCCCACCAGAGTAATATCTGTAATCGCTCTTCTGCTCTTCTTGTCTCTTTAAGTAGGACTGTAGTGTTGATCTGGCAAAAATGAAAGAGACAGCAGGGTGATGCAAAGAACAAAAGAGTGACACATCCCCACAAACAGCTTACCATCTAATCCAGTGGTCCCCAAGCTGTTTGCTTCATGCCCTCCCTCACCCTTTGTCCTTGTGCTGGATGTGAGGCTGAGGCTCCAGAAAGGATAGAGATGACCAGGGTAAGGAAACAAGGCTGGGGCCACAGTCAGCAAGTGGGGGCTCTAGGCCAGCAGCCAGAGCTGGGGGGCACTCCCTGTGAAGGCTAGCCCAAGCCCCCTGAAAGTTCCTCTGCACCCCCTTAGCAGGGTGTGCCCCATAGTTTGAGGACCTCTGACCTAAGAACTAGGGTGAGGAAGGAGGAACAAGATGAGTTTCACCAGCAAGCAATGTTTCTAGTTAATATTATTATTTTGTGATTCACCTTTAAGGGAATCCCGTGTCAGAGTTTTGTCCAAATAGGTACAAATGGAATGGAGATTTACTTTAGAAAGCCTGTGAAGAAGAAATCTCACCATCAAAAAACCCCACTAGCCTTATCTTCATAGGACTGCAAAGTCCAATGGTCAATGTTTTATGCAAAACATGAGTGAATACATCTGGAGAAAAAATGCTTAACTGGAGGGGAAAAAACCTAAAATGTGGTGATGCTGAAACAGAGGTAGGGGCACTAGTGGTCAGCAAATTATGAACTGGTTTGTGGTACGGCACAATCAAAAATGCTAATCAAAATGTAGGCTTGTCCACACAGAAGCTTGTCTAAGCATGAAGATAAACTCCCTTGTACGTATAGCTCTTTAGTGCAATAACATGGACTTGAACAAAGATTTAAAAACCTAAATATTTATAGCTTGGGTAAACAACAAACCCAGGCAGCTAAAGAATAATCTTCAATTATTTAATAAGTATAAAGACCGTGAATTGTGAGAAATTAGCCTGTGGAAATGTCACAAAGTAAAAGTCCTCCAAACCAGGAAGGACCAGGAAGACTTTCAGATCATCAGTAAGAGTGTGGGAGAGAGGAACTGAAGGATGTCACCCGCAGAGTTGTGGAAGTCCAAGAGGTTTTTGTATACATTGGGAAGGGCAAAATATGTCCCACAGCCAAGCAAGAGCCTTGAGAAGGATCCCTGAACACCACTCAAAGCAGCCAGCTGCAGGAGCCATGAGCTCTCTGTGCACCAGAAGCTTCTAGAGGAGGAGGGCTTCAGGTGCTGTCCCTGCCTCCAGCACAATCCTCAAAGCTGTCTGAGCTGTCTGAGCTGTGTTTGTGGCACAAGCAGTATGTAAAGTCCCCACCCCAAGGGGTGTGCAGTGCAGACACACACACGGCCTCAACAGCCAGCTGCTTTGAGCAGCACGTGGGGCCACAGCAGGCAGGGAGTCTGCCAGAGGGTCCTGCTGGGCTGCTGATACCCCAGCCCCTCCCTCCCCCTGGCTCTCCTTACCATCTGCCTCTGGCACCCCCAACCCATCCTCCCCCAACTCTCTGTTCCCCTTCCTGCACTCCTGCCCTCCTGCCCCAGGTCACAACCCAAACCCTCTGTACATCCCTTGCTCCTGCATCCATGCCCCTTCCCAAACCCTGCCCCACGTCACAACCCCCTTCCAAACCTTGCACACCCTCCAAAACCACTCCTCCAGGTAAGAATCCTCTCCTGCACCTCTATGCCATCACAGACCCTGCACCTCAATCCCCTGTCCAGGTCACAACTCCCTCCTTCATCCAAATTCCCTCCCAGACCCCACATCTCCTTATATACCCTAATCCCCTCCCCCAAGCTCCCTTATGCATCCAACCTCTATCCCAAACCTCACACCTTCTCCATTAATATCACGGAAGAGTGCAGCCCTTGACCACTTACCAATATTTCGGCGTGCACCCCATCAAAAATTGTGTCCCACCCCTGGGCTACACTGTACTTTTTCAGGAAATTGTGACGTTCTGTATTCTTATGCTTATCATTTTTTATAAAATTAGGATAAAACTTGTACCTCATGCGAGGTATCATTTGAAAGCTCACAATCTGGTCAACATTACTAACCTGATAAAGTTATGTATAACAACATTGTATGTTGTTACACAGTTCTATTGGATGACTTAACTAAGACACATTTCAAGTCTATGGAAACAGCTTCCAGCCTATTCCCCAGACACAGGCTAGACAGCACTATCAAATAGGTTAAGTTGCCATTCTTTGGCAGGGAAAACAGTGAGAGCAAGAAACTTACCACTTGGCAATGGAACAGCTGGGGGATCCCATGGAAACAGTTATAAAAATGAGGAAAAGTTATAAAAATGAGTAACAGAAGCATCAAACCACCTCTCCCCCGCTCATCTCCATTCAGGACATCAACAATGCTTCAAAGACCAAAGAAGCATAAATGAATTACGGGAGGAGTCCTGCCTGCAGGTAGCTAACCAAACTGTCATATACATGCTTACAAGAGAAACCTTTTTGCTTTAATTTACTTAGCTTGCATTTAACCATTTATTTCTTTGTAGCCTATTTTAACTTAAATGCCTCATTATTTGCAATCACTTTAAATCTACCTTTCTGTAGTTAAAACAAAACAAATGTATTATCTAAACTAGCATGGTTGGACTGAAGTGTCTGGGAAACACCATTTGAGATAACAAGATATGTGCATATCATTCTCTATTAATGAAATGATGGCCTTTACATGAGCTCGTGTTGTCCAGATGGAAAGAGTTGGGCAGTACAAGATGCACATTTCTGGGGACAAGCCTGGGACTGGGAATTTGCTGAGGTCACACTGCAATATAATTCAGAAGTGGCAGGCTATAGCTCTCCTATAGCTCAGCTGGGAATAGCTTACATGCTAAAGACTGTGCGTGAGCCCGTCAGGAGTGGCTGTCTCACAGAAAAGCAGTGTAAAAGGCACTGAAGTTGGAGAATTGAGGGGGGACAGCTATCTAATAGTCCAGTACCCTGCATTATATCACTGAATTCTCTCATCATTTTACATTAACATTCAGGGTGGCAGTACAAAGGGCACAGGTAGCCACAGGAATTTATAATCACTGTATCCACTCAATCTGCTCCTAGCAGAGTTTAAGGACATGGGGATAAAAACACCAATTTTCTGTTTATATTAATGATCCCATTGTTATAACAATGGTGGAGCTGCAATGATGGGAGTGCAAAGATAGGAGATTTCCAAAAGGCATCTAGCGTGTATAGAGGGAAACAAATATTTGGAAAGCAGCATTTACTTAGACTGTCCACTCCTGGTTTAATCAGATTTCACTGTAATATGAAAACATGAATTGGAAAGGACAGGAAGTCATGATCCTCGCTCCTTCTCAGACATTCATACCTTGATCTTGCAAAGAGCACATTGTATACGGACTGCTCATCTTCTGAGAGTTTTAACCGGTGCAACCGAGTATGTCGCTCAGGCAGAGATACCTTACATAAATAAATAAATAAATAAATAAACAAATAAATAAAACAGATTCAGCCATTTACTATGTAAAGATTTTGCAAAGCACCAAGATCACTGCTGACTCGTTCGGTTCTGTGAAGCTGTAGATCACATAACACTGTATGGGAGACACTGCTGTCTCAGAAATCAAACAGCCTGGCATCCTCCAGGCCAAATGGTCCAGGGTTGCTGGGCAGGCAACATGCTCAGTGCCTAGGGAGGCAATCTTTCACAATGGTTTATCCAAAGCAGTGAAGCCCCTTTGTCCTTCTATAGAATAGTTTCCCATAGTCCTCCCTACAATGTTGCTCGGGTCCTTAACTCAATTAAGTTTTTTGTTTCTCAGTGATACACGCCTCTCTACGGTTGCTACAGCTCCAGCGAGTACAGGAATGCATGTCCCCCAGCTGGGGCAGGCCCTCTTCATCTGCCCCTAGTGCTTCCCATCCAGAGTGAAAAATTGAGCAAAGTATACTACTGAGCACTTTACCCTAGCTCCCTGACAGACAGGAACAGCCAGCAATGCTCCTGTCCATCCAAATCAGGGGAAGGGTGGGGAACTTTAGCTCCCGATAGAAGGTTTGGAGCTGGGGCAGTCCCAGATGGAGGTAGGGACCCAGATAGCCGCTTTCACTTGCCTGGTGATTGTCTGTCTCTTTTCTGATTGGTTTCATGTGGCCCCGTACAAATCCGGAGGGAGAGAGGGAAATCTTCTGTGCCTCCCCAATTAACTAAACCCTTATCTTGCTTTAAATTGTAGGAGGAAGCTGCATACCAAATTTGGTGTTCCTAGCTCTTACTGTTTAGGAGTTCTTGAACAAATGGACAGACGGACAGGCAACTTGCTCACTCAGAGAAACGCTCTCAGACAGATAGTAGATTAAAGCTGAGGCTCTTATGCACTATGACAACTCCAGTTGCTGGGGCTTTTGGAAAAACTACCTACTACAAGCCTCAAAAAATCAACAGAGTTGACAATACTCAAAGCTATAAAGCAATCATGGTACAACTGGATGTTTACAGAGCTGTTAAGCTCTGTTTGACTTCCGTTAAGCCTAAGTACTAACTAGGGATGTAAGCAACTAGTCAAGTAATTGACTACCCAATAAGCATATGCTTATTACGTAGCTGAGTCACTACTTGACTAGTCGCTTCTCCCACTTCCCTTGCCTCTATCACAGAGAGACAGCAAGGGGGAGGGGAGCAGGAGCCCGTGCTGGGGGAGCCGACTTAAAAACTGAATCCCTCTGCGGCTCTTACTACATTTAAAAGGTAGAGCTGCAGCGGGGTTATCTTCCGGAGCCAGGAGTTAACCCTGCTGTGGCTCTGAGGTTTCCGCCATTATTGATTAATCAATGAGCTGATTACATGCAATTTAATATTTATCAGTCAGTATTAAAAGACAAAGCTAAGCCTCAATTGCTACATGCTTACTAGTGCATAACTGATTTCTGGGGTTGGAAAAGCAGCTACTTGATATATCATTCACAGACACAAGGAGCTAGCTGCACAACCTCATAGGAATGGCAAGCCTGAATAAGCGACAAGGAGTCCTGTGGCACATTACAGACTAACAGATTTATTGGAGCATAAGCTTTCATGGGCAAAGACCCACTTCATCAGATGCATGTGAGGAAGTGGGTCTTTGCCCACAAAAGGTTATGCTCCAATAAATCTGTTAGTCTATAAGGTGCCACAGGACTTCTCGTCGCTTTTGCAGATTCAGACTAACATGGCTACCCTTCTGAAGCCTGAATAAGAAATCTGACACTTGATTATTTCTCTCCTCAGAATTCCCAGGCTCACCATCTTGACGTGGCTGTTTGTTGGATGTAAGAGTTCAGTTCATTGACTCTCTGCTCTGTAGAACATTTTACTTGACAGGAAAACAATATATATAAGCAGCTTACGGGGAAGCAGCGTTGCTTTCCCCAAAGGAGAAGCCAAGCCTCCTAGCTGGTGAATGACAAAGTCTACTCTTGCATCTTAAACTGTAGAATGGTGGGGGGAAAAGGGGACACCCAGAGAATTACAAGCCCATATATGAATGAAACTACCATCTGATAGCTATATGGAGGGCACAGCTCCCTTTCCAAGCCCCCGGAAAAGGCGAAAGGTCATTACCAGAGGCTTGCCAGTCGAGTCCAACTGGTCCTTGGTTCTCCGCAATAAGAGACTCCTGGTTAAGATACTCAATCTCTCTCCCCCTTTCTTTGTATGGTTATCTACCTGGGTCTTCCACAGCTTAAATTCATCAAAGGGAGAACAACGCAGAAACCTACCAAGAGAGGAAAGAAAAGACAATTAATACTGGGACTGTTAGGGTATGTCTACACTACCACCCTAGTTCGAACTAGGGTGGTAATGTAGGCAACCGGAGTTGCAAATGAAGCCCGGGATTTGAATTTCCCAGGCTTCATTTGCATCTTGCCGGGTGCCGCCATTTTTAAATGTCCGCTAGTGCGGACTCCGTGTCGCGCGGCTACACGCAGCACGGACTAGGTAGTTCGGACTAGGCTTCCTATTCCGAACTACCGTTACTCCTCGTTACTCCTAGCGGACATTTTAAAAATGGCGGTGCCCGGCAAGATGCAAATGAAGCCCGGGAAATTCAAATCCCGGGCTTCATTTGCAACTCCGGTTGCCTATATTACCACCCTAGTTCGAACTAGGGTGGTAGTGTAGACATTCCCTTAGATAGTGGTTATTTTAGTAAGTGTGTAGCCTCAACAATTTTTAGCAGGATTACTAAAATACCCTCCCCTAACAGGGTGTGGGGCTGGCAGGCAGTGCATTCCCAGCCCCACTCATGGTGAGTCCCCTGCCACCCTGTGCTACAAGTCAGCAGCACAGGGTGGCAGGCAGAGCCAGTCTGCGAGGGGAGCCAGTTTAAAAACTGGTGGCAGTGACCCCTGTCCACAGAGGGCCCAAGCTCCTCGTGGACTGAAGCTGCACCAGTATCCCACCTGACCCTCCCTCCCCCCCCCCCCCCCCCACACACACACACTGTGCAGCTGCTTCTGATACAGCATTTTTTTTTTAATGGCAAAAGAAAAATAGCATGTTTGCTGAAAGCCATCGCATTTAATGCTTCAAACCCCATCTCTCCAAAATCAGATTGATAAACTGTTCATCTCAACTCTGGGCAACAGTTCCCCTCCAGTCACCCAGCTTGAAACTAAATTCAGTGATATCAGATTGATAAACTGTTCATCTCAACTTTGGGCAACAGTTCTCCTCCAGTCACCCAGCTTGAAGCTAAATTCAGTGAATAAATCAGATATTTTGATAAGCAATTAAAAAAAATAAGTGTTCAACAAGCTTATGACACAACTAGAGTCATTTTTTCTTTGCAGAGCCATTACATTCCTAACTCATTTGGACACAAAACTAATAGGGACATGCTCCCTCATTTTCACAAAGTCCTAGGAATGCCCCAGGAGAGAAACAATGACTCCTGAGTAAACACAGCTGTTAATTAAGGTCAGTGCCATGGTCAGTTCAATCCTCATGTAAGAGCATAAAGTAGATTCATAATCAAGGGAGTTATAGTTTTTATTTAATAATAACCCTAAGCAACAGGTCAATGGGCCAGGATAAAGAGCAAGTAGACTATAGACCACCTTATCTGCAAGCATAGAATCTACTGACATATAAAGTACTAACCTAGACAAAATCCATTCTTCTGAGAAGTCTGCATTACCACAAGTTGCTTGGTGGAACTCTATTACTTAAAAAAAATTGGATTTGAAGCACCGCCCCCCTACAATAGCAAAGTTACTCTATACCAACTGGATGATGCCTACAGACAAAGCTACAGATACCAGCATTACATTGTTTCCCACACGGTCAGCTCACCTCAGCAGTGAATACATATCCAGCAAATTGTTCTGTATCGGTGTCCCGGTGACCGCCCATCTGGCAGTGGCTCTCAGTTTGCACACAGCTATAGAGCTCTGAACTTTGGGGTTTTTGATATTGTGAGCTTCATCCAGTATAATCCGAGCCCAGGCTACTCGGAGCAGAGGAGAGCAGGGACATGATGTATCCTGGAGGAGAAAGCAGGTTTAATTTTATAAAATTCTGTATCAGGCTGGTATGGAAAAGGGGAGCAGGAGAGGTAGAGACACATCTTGGAGAGCCACAAGTAAATAAGATTTTTTTTTTTGGCCAGGAAGTCTTTCCTTAGAGGAAGTGCTCACAAATTTGAGCAGAAGTCTTGCCACTGACCACTCTGAGTGTGGGGTTCTCTCCACCCTTTTATCATGTGGAATTGTTATTTCAATCAATTTTTGGTAAAATTGTCAAGGAAGTCTGCTAGTTCAGAACCAATGTGTATATGTCTGTGCTTTGCTGTGATAGTGACAAAAAAGCATATTTTAATCTTCCGCCCAAAAATATATCCATTTTGGCCAAGCAGAATTTGCGTCAGGTCGCCACAAAAGGTTAAATGGGATTTATCTTTTGGGATACATTACATCTCATTAAAACACAAGACATTAAACCAGCTTTATGGGAGAGATTTAAGTGTCTGGAAATATAATGAACCTATGGCTATGGGAGCCTGGTCCCTTGTGTACACACATGTAAGGCTTGAAAGTGAATATCTTACACAAAGTGTACCCAGGAAACTGAAGGGTATTTCATCTATCCCATACAGCCAACTGAAAGTAATTTTGACTTTAAAAATTATTTTCAGTTGGCAATATGGTATTGATGAAAAATGCATGGCTGGTCTGTATCAACTGACTCAGGCTATAGATCTATAAAATTGCAATGTAAACATTCAGTCTTGGGCTGGATCCTGAGGAGGAGGAAGGGTCCCAGAGCTTGGGCTTCAGCCAAAACCCAAATACTAATGCTTCAGTTTTGTAGCCCTATAAGCCCACGTCAGCAGATCCAGGCTGGGGTGGGGCTGGAGGAGGGGGAGGATTGGTTGCATGGACATACTCAGTTGTCACATTACCTATTTCACAACCAAGTAGAGGTGATTATTCCCTGATTTTTAAAAATCTGTATTTAAAGGGCTTCAGTTCCAGAGTTAAGAATAAACCAAAGACAGAGATGTTCATGTGTTAAGGAGTAGGCAAAAATACCCCCCAGGAAATTGTACTGTAGATGCATAAAGCTTATTTAAAAAACTTAACTTTAAAAAAATCACTGCCATCCGATAATTAGTTGCTATCATTAAAAGTAACATGACTGTTATAACAAAAATTAGGCTACATACTCTGCCTTTTCTATTTACTTTCTACACTTGACAAACACATGGTGTCTCCAGTTGGTTTTTCTGATTTGTACAACAGTCTCACAGCAATAGGGGGTTGAAAAAAAATATTTTTCCACATACAATAATCTTAGGTGTTACATGCAACATTAACAGATTGAACAACTTCTCAATCAAGTACAATTTTTAAGTCTCTCTGTGTAAAGCAGCCTGCTTGTCAACTGCATGCATCTCACCCCCACATCATGGTCCTCAGCAGGGACCTCTCCCTCTTCTTTCTTTGTGGGAATCTCCTTGGAGAGAAGATTGTAGGTGGTGACAACAATGTCATAGTGAGGGAGGCTGTACAAAAAAAGCAGAGATGTGCTTGTCAGCAACGAGACTTATCAGAAACCCTTTCTGCAAGACAGGCAGAATCACTCAAGGATTAATATGTAGAATGCAGGTCTGTAAAAGTCAATACATCTAAATACATGGAGATATACCTATTTCATAGAACTAGAAGAGACCTTGAGAGGTCATCGAGTCCAGTCTGCAGTCCTTATGGCAGGACCAAGTACCATCCCTGACAGATTTGCCCTAGATACTTAAATGGCCCCCCTGAAGGATTGAACTCACAACCCTGGGTTTAGCAAGCCAATGCTCAAACCACTGAGCTATTCCTTCCCTGAAGTCAGATCCCAAACTCCAGTGGGCACCAAAACAACATAATACAATAAAAGGTAGTATTGGCTCTTTCAGAACCAGAGGAGCTCAAAGCTCATGACAAACATTACACTTAACAATACCCCATGAGACCGGCAGGTATGATTCCCATTTTACAGATGGAGAAAGTGGAGAAGCTGAGTCACAGGCATTTGATAAGCCCAAAATAATACAGTAAATCTGTGGCACAGCGTCTCTTGACTCCAAGTCCATCCCTCAAGAGCACACTCTGCAATGATGTTGGTAGCTTCTGCCCCACAAACATCACTGCTTAAGCTGTTTCAGCATAAGTGCAGGACAACTCATTGCTGGCAACCATTATGAGCAAGAGATGTATTTGAGAGGATATACATGTCTTTGGATTCAGGTGCATTAATAGCCTTAGCAAGAGCAAGTCAGCGTGGGTAGGGGTTGTGCAAATTTTCCCTACTGTTACCTACCAGCCCTGTGCTTTAGGAGCCAGGGAGTGACATTCATGGAAAACCATTCTCCTCCCTTCCCCAAAGCCAGTGGTCCCCAACGCGGTGCCCGCGGGCGCCATGGCGCCCACCGGGGCATTTGTGTGCGCCCACCGACAACCTGGGGCTGGCTCCACCCCTTGCACGGGGCACAACTGTGGTGGTG